GAGCTATCAAAGATCAATAACGCATCATAGGACAACCATGATGCCTCAGGTCTAAGGACTAATTTGTATTATTGCAACTATGAGTTCTCATTTGACATGTAGATAAATACTCCATATGAGAACTACGGTTGATCGCGTTCAGTGTACTCATTCACTAATGAGCACCCACATACTTGTATTAGTGTCAACTACACAAATGGTTTGAGACTAACCATCCTCCCAATTGAGCATACATAATATGCGCTAATCTTGACGGTTTATCAATGCCCATTTGATAACCTATGATTAGGAATATTTTGGGATACTACAATTAGATATTAAAGGTCTCATGAATCTAATCTTCTTTAGATTACTTTATCTCTTATTTAGCATACCCTGGACATTTGTTTCTTTACACAATGTAAAAGATAACAAATTAAGTTTGACCTTTATATATCATATACGAAATGTATTCTAAGGAGATTACATCAAATGTATTGGCTCTTAGGGCACATTTCTAACACATCCATCATTCGGGTGAACCACGCATATCTTGTCTTCTGCATGCTTATTTACTTTATTTACTTTAACTACCGAAGGCAACAATCTGCCGAAGGCACATACACCTGTTGAAGACCCATGTCTTCACACATCATCCACCATTCCACCTCTATCTAAGTTGACCTCCCAAAAAGAGCATCAACATTGTACAAAAGTGACCAAAGTTCTTACACCAAGCCATTACGTTTGTTGCCCAAACTGGTATTTGTAGTTGAACCTAAATAAGAAATATCTTCAATAACACGTTATAAGTCGGTTTGTGTTGCATTCCTAAAAGGACACAAATTAATGTGCAAACAACCAATTAAAAATACCCGCAAGTGCACGAATCTATCGAAGTATAGATTATGTAAGTACGGGGTCGATCCCACGAAGAACTTGTCGGTTGCCTATAAGTTCTAATTCGAGTACAAAGAGAACACTCAACTAACACACCACAAATGCACAAATGCAAATTGGAAACTAAAAATGAGTAAAGAAATGTAAAAGAAATGAAACAACACAAGAAACCAAAGAAAAACAGAAACAGCACTTTCTATCACCCTTTTATCACCTATTTATCACCTGTGAACAGTGCCATGAACAGTGCGGTGAACAGTGAAAATGAACAGTGACGACCGGTCGTTTTTGGGCAGATTCGTTTCTCTGTTTTTCAATTTCGACCTCTGTCCAGTGTTTTGCCTATAACTTTCCAACCGTACGTCGAAAATTCACGTTCTTTATACGGTTGGATTCAG